CGATATAACAGTTCAAGTTTAAGAGCTCGTTTGAGATATCGCAGAATACGAGTAACTATCTTCTAATGTGGTACTCTAGGACATTCCATGAATTGACTTACTATATTGACTGCATAGGAAATATCCGATCGAGTAATAGTGAGATAATTAAGCTTTCCAACTAATCTGCAACACTGACCCGGATTCTCAAACAATGCACCATCATCCATCAATAATTTTTGATTCGGATCCATAGGAACATCAATCGATCTATCACCTAGCAAACTTGTTTTCTCAAGCATGTCAAATACATATTTTCTCTGGGATAAATAAATACCCTGTTTAGATCAAGCCACCTCAATACCCAAGAAATACATGAGTTTTTCCAAATCCTTAGTATGAAATCGATCTTGTAAGAATATTTTTAACTTGGCAATCCCCTCAGAATTATTTTCAGTAATCACAATATCATCTACATAGACCACCAATACGACATATCCAACATCTGTCTGTCTATGAAACACAGAATGATTTATTTGACATCGAAGAAGACTAAGTTCTAAAATTGTATTTGAAAACTTACCAAACCATGCCTTCGGTGACTGCTTCAAACCATACAAAGATTTTTTTAACTGACATACACTCTTATCATACTCCCTTTGAGCAGTAAACCCAGGTGGCTGCTCCATGTATACCTCTTCAACCAAGTCACCATGTAAGAAGACATTCTTGATGTCTAAGTAAAACAAGGGTTAATCAAGATTAGCAGCCAAAAAAATCAAGATACGAACAGAGGAAATTTTGGCAACAGGAGAAAAAGTCTCATAATCAACACCATAAGTCTGAGTAAAACTCTTTGCAACAAGCCGGGCTTTGAGACGCTCCACAGAACCATCTGGATGAAATTTAACAGTATACACTCAACGACAGCCAATAGTTCGTTTACCAGAGGGTAAAGGAACGAGATTCCAAGTCCCATTATGATGTAAAGCATCCATCTCCTCCTCCATAACTTTCCTCCAACCTGGATCAGACAATACATCCTGTGAATGCTTAGGAATAGATATAACAGATAATTGGGAAGTAAAACAAGAAAAGACAAGAGACAAGGCATCATATGAAACACAATGAGAAATGGGATGATTCGTAACACACGAACGAGTAACTTTGCGAAGAGCAATAGGTAAAGAGTCTAAATTACCTGATGTACCAGGATCATAAGGCGGCAAGGAATACGGTACGAGCATTTCAGTCGATGAGCGAGAACGGCAAGAATAGACACGGAGAGGTAAAGTAGATGGTAACACAGTGGGCAGCGAAATATCTGAAGATGAGAAAGAAATGGTGGTACTAGAGAGGATCTAAAGTCCAGATCCAAAGGTTGAGAAGGTGCTAGAAAGTATAGAACAGACTCTTCAAATGTGATATCGACACTAGTAAAGTATTGGTGCAGAGAAGGACTGTAGCAACGATTTCCCTTCTGCGTGCGGGAGAAACCAAGAAATACACATTTGGTAGTTCGAGGGTTAAGTTTATCAAACACAGGCCCCAAATTGTGAACATAACAGACACAACCAAAAACCTTAGGAGTAAGGGAAAATAAAGGCTTACCGAGAAAAAGAACAGAATATGGACTTTGCCCATTTAACACAGAGGATGACATACGATTGATAAGATGACAAGCAGTAAGAACAACATCACTCCAATAATATCAAAAAATATTAATCTGGAATAACAGGGTACGGGTGACTTCCAACAAATGACAGTTCTTGCGTTCAGCAACACCATTTTGTGGAGAGGTGTAAGCACAAGAAGTTTGATGAATAATTCCAGTTTTACTATGATAAGCTGAAAGAGGATCAGATTCATATTCCCGAGCATTATCGGAACCTAAAGTACGTATACAACAACCAAATTGAGTTTTTATTTCCTTACGAAAAGTCTCAAATATAAAGAATAATTTAGATCGAGCTTTCATAAAAAACAATCAAGTCATACGAGAATAGTCATCCATAAATGTCACAAAATAAGGATATTTATTAGGTGAAATATTCTTTATTGAACCCTATACATCAGAATGGACTAATTCAAATGGACTAGACATACGATTATTGACTCTAGACTGAAATGACACACGGTGATGCTTACTAAATTGACAAGCTTCATAAGACAAAGACGACACATAACTAAGACTGGGAACTTGGCGCTTCAGATTTTGGAGAGAGGGATGTCAAAGACGACAATGCCATTGAAAAGGAGACAACGAGGTCTGTAGAGCCCGAGTAGGTGAGTCAAAATCAAAGTAATATAGGCCACTAACTTTATGCCCCGTATCAATCTTCCTTTTTGTCTTGAGATCCTGAAAGACACAATAAGAAGTATAAAAGGTTACAGAACAATTGAGAGAACGAGTAATCTTACTAATGGAAAGTAAACTAAAAGGAAACTGAGGAACAAATAACACGGATGATAGGGACATAGAAGGACTCAAGTGAGTAGTCCCTAGACCTGAAACTTTAGAACAAGTACCATTAGCAAGAGTAACACTACTTGTGGAAGTAGCAGACTGATAAGTAGAAAAACATCGGATGCACCAGTCATGTGGTCAGAAGCGCCAGAATCTATGATCCAGTGACTGCGGGTGGAGGACAATAAACAAGTGGAAGTAGTACCTGATTGGGTAAAAGTAGCAGTGGAGGGAGATGGAACAGCCTGTTGTTGGGACAGGAACTGGGCATACTCTTCTCGACCTAGTATAATAGTAATTGACCTAGTGTCTGGTGGAGTTGACTGAGGTATGGAAGCAACAACCGATGTGTCATTCTGATAAGAAGCCTGATTAGCAGCATCAAAAGATTTTCCATGTAAATCCCAACAAAAGTCAACAGTGTGTCCTCTACGGCTATAGTGAGTACAGGAACGAGATCCATTATGACCCCCACGACCACCCATACGACCTCCCGTATGACCTTTGCGACCACCACGTCCACCTCGATGACCATCACTATGGCTATTAGGAATCACAAGAGTTGAGCGATCAGTGGAGACACCATGATCAATGACTGAAGGAGTAGACAGTGTAGCACGCTGTAAACGAGAGAAAACCTCCAACAGTGATGGAAGACTAAATCCACCCAAAATCTGAGAACGAATAGCCTCATATTCAGGTTTCAATCCTACCAAAAATCTAACAACATTCAGGTCCTCATATTGTTTCTGTCAAACTGCTGCATCGGTAGTAAACGGATGGTAAGTCTTTATTTTCTCATAAACTCTCCGAACATGAAAGTAATAATCCGCAAGGCTCAGAGTACCCTGTTCCAACCGGAAGTACTCCTTGCACACATCATACGAACGGGTAAAATTACCTGTATTAGAATACATAATGACCAAGTGATTCCATATTTTTTTGGTAGTATCAAGATAGAGCAGAGNATGGTAGAGATAACTATTAAGCCTTTCCAGGTGGTAGTTGGCATGTGGCTTATTACTAGTGTATACACCTATACCCTACNCAAGCTGGACTGTATATATCTTATAATCCAAACTTGGAACAAATAGCTGTAAGACGTGTACGACTCAATGTTTTGGTAAACATATCTGCAAGCTGATTTTCAGATTTCACAAATAGAGTTGTAATCTCCTCAACTACTATTTTGTCTTGAATAAAGTGACAATCAACCTCAATATGCTTTGTTCTCTCGCGAAACACAAANATACCTGACCCTTCGTCCCATAATTGACTGGAGCTAAAATCTGTTTAGGAATCCAAACGGAGTTGATTTATAAGGAAATAGTTTTATGAGTTTGCTGGATTGGTANCTGGTATCTTGCTTGGGTTTCATAATAATGTAGCAAATAGTAAACAAGAGTTACAATGCTGAAGTAGAGGAAAAGAAACTGTTAAAAGGCTGAACCGGGCTGGAAAAGGTAGACGGACTACTGAACCGGATAGGTTGAGCCATCTAGACCACTGAACCGGGTTGGAAAAGATTGTTGNCTGTCTGGTTGTCACAGAACAACTGTAAAGGAAGTTGAACTGGAAACCCAATTTCCTAGAGGAAGGGTAGTAGTCAAGTCAACTCACTCGTCGTATATGTCATTACCCTATACTCAGCCTCGGCACTAGATCTTGCTACNTATGATTCGTTCTTGATACTGACATGATGGTAGAGATAACTATTAAGCCTTTCCAGGAGCTAGTTGGCATGTGGCTNGTAACTATCTTCTAATGTGGTACTCTAGGACATTCCATGAATTGACTTACTATATTGACTGCATAGGAAATATCCGATCGAGTAATAGTGAGATAATTAAGCTTTCCAACTAATCTGCAACACTGACCCGGATTCTCAAACAATGCACCATCATCCATCAATAATTTTTGATTCGGATCCATAGGAACATCAATCGATCTATCACCTAGCAAACTTGTTTTCTCAAGCATGTCAAATACATATTTTCTCTGGGATAAATAAATACCCTGTTTAGATCAAGCCACCTCAATACCCAAGAAATACANATCTGACCCTTCGTCCCATAATTGACTGGAGCTAAAATCTGTTTAGGAATCCAAAAAGGAGTTGATTTATAAGGAAATAGTTTTTGTGAAGCCATCTGTCCAACAATTTTTTGGAGATTGAAGAAGACGAACAACTCCAAATGAATTTACTATGTCAAATTTGAACCATTCTCATTACCTTGCGAGATTGAAGGTCTATCATCCCCCGAACTGATTCCATTTTATCCAGCTCATACTGTTAGGTCTACTGGCAATAGCATTATCAATTTATTAATTTTGGTGGGAACTTGAACATTGGATGGCCAAAATTGTCAGGATATGTGTGTTTCAGAATGAATTGATTTATAAATGGAAATGTTGATATTTTAAAAAATATTCTCAGTTCTGAATTATACTTGCTGCTGCTGTTTGAAAGATATTTTGGTGTAGCAAATTCTTGTACATCCAGGATTGTTTATAGATCAGGAGTGTAGCCATTTTAACAACATTTTCTCCTTAAATGCAGGTTGCTTCTTTCTTGTATCACCAAGAGAAGAAGAATGTTCTTGTTGAACCTGAGGTACATGACATTTTTGCCAGAATCCCTGGGTTTGGTTTTGTTCAGACCTTCTATAGTCAAGATACCAGGTGCCGGAACTCATTGGTCTAGAATGAAAAGCATTCATACTTTTCATGTCTACATAATCCATAAAGAGTTTTGATCTTACCTAATGTCCTCAATGCAGTGATCTTCATGAGAGGGTAGATCTAGTAGCTTGTTTGGGAGGAGATGGGGTTATACTCCACGCATCAAATTTATTTAGAGGTGCTGTTCCCCCTGTTGTCTCATTTAATCTTGGATCTCTTGGATTTCTCACTTCCCATACTGTACGCTTCTTAACTCTCACTATTTTTTGAAGTCTCTTTATAGGAGATCTTTCTTTTCACTTTATCTTTCGTCTGAAACAGTTTGAAGACTATAAACAGGACTTAAGACAAGTCATCCATGGGAACAACACACTAGATGGTGTTTATATAACTCTAAGAATGCGTCTCCACTGTGAGATTTTTCGAAATGGGAAAGCAATGCCTGGGAAAGTATTTGACGTCCTCAATGAGGTTGTAGTTGATCGTGGATCAAACCCATACCTTTCCAAAATTGAATGTTATGAACATGACCGCCTCATAACCAAGGTATAACAAGTGAATTTATGAGTTCACGATCAATTTTCTATCAGTAACTTCCTGCCGGCACGTAGTCAATACTTTTTTGATGCTTGCCATCTTATAGCAGAGTCAAAATTTATTATAAACTTCCAACTGCAATCACCATTTATGCTAAATTTTCCTAATGTAAACTTTGATATCGCCGCATGTTTGATTCTATGCCCTATGTCTTTGTCATCATTTATTGATAGGTGCAAGGTGATGGAGTCATAGTAGCCACACCTACTGGAAGTACCGCTTATTCTACAGCCGCTGGAGGTTCCATGGTAGGCAACCCTTGTTAAGAACCAAAATTTATGGCCTTAAATTCCTTGTAAAGCTTGGTACTATATATTTGGTCGGTAGATTTATCTACTTTCTTACCTTAGGTTAGCATAGAGTTGTTGTGAAAATTAAGGGGTCGTTTGGTAACGCTTTTGTTTTCATGTCTTCAAAAAAATAAAAAACTAAGACAATTTTTATCTCTGTTTTGTGGTAAACACTGAAACAGAAAATATATTCGGGAGTCATTTGTGTCTATCAAATTATGAGAATAAAAATAAAAAACATGTTTGGTAACTATTTCAAATTTTATCCTTAAGTCTCGTGTTTTTTCTTTCAACAATAATATTGAGACTTAACAAATTGAATTAATTTGATAAATTAATGATATGGTCAACAATCTCAAATGTCAATTCAATCAATCCTAAAGAAAGGTATAAATCACTTTTCTTTAAAAAAAAAAAAAGAGAAATTTTATTTATTCACAAAAAAAAAACATTATAAGAAGCAAAAGAAAGATATAAACCACCTTTGCATCATAAAAAAACCAAAACCGAAAATTCAAGAAACAAAACAGGCCATTGCCTTTAGAAAGCAAAAACCAACACCAAGACAGCAGCTCCATCCAAAAACAGAATATGCAGCCAATCTAACAGCAAAATAACACCTCTTCTTCTCATATTTTAAACAAATCAACACTTGAATTTAAAGAAAAGCTATCAACCCTTATCATCAAACACCTGTCCCTTTCGCCTTCGCAGATGTTAAGTTTGGAGAATTAACACAATATTAGAGAGAAACAGAGAGTGGTTAAAAACTTAATCTAGCTCTCATACATCACTTGTATTTATAGTTAACCTTCAATACTAAGAATTATACATACACTCTCTTACTACTAACAATTTACACATACTACCTTATTATTCTTAACACTCTCCCTTAAGCTGGACTGTATATATCTTATAATCCAAACTTGGAACAAATAGTTGTAAGACGTGTACGACTCAATGTTTTGGTAAACATATCTGCAAGCTGATCTTCAGATTTCATAAATAGAGTTGTAATCTCCTCAACTATTATTTTGTCTTGAATAAAGTGACAATCAACCTCAATATGTTTTGTTCTCTCGCAAAACACAAGATTGACAGCGATATGGATAGCTGTCTGGTTGTCACAGAACAACTGTAAAAGAAGTTGAACTGGAAACCCAATTTCCTAGAGGAAGGGTAGTAGTCAAGTCAACTCACTCGTCGTATGTGCCATTGCCCTATACTCAGCCTCGGCACTGGATTTTGCTATCACAGGTTGTTTTTTACTTTTTCATGAGACAACATTACCTCCTAAGAAAGTACAATAACCAGTGGTTGATCTTCGATCAGAAAGAGAGCCAGCCCAATCAACATCTGAGAAACCTTCCACTCTAAGATGTTCATTAGCTCGATATAACAGTTCAAGTTTAAGAGCTCGTTTGAGATATCGCAGAATACGAGTAACTATCTTCTAATGTGGTACTCTAGGACATTCCATGAATTGACTTACTATATTGACTGCATAGGAAATATCCGATCGAGTAATAGTGAGATAATTAAGCTTTCCAACTAATCTGCAACACTGACCCGGATTCTCAAACAATGCACCATCATCCATCAATAATTTCTGATTCGGATCCATAGGAACATCAATCGATCTATCACCTAGCAAACCTGCTTTCTCAAGCATGTCAAATACATATTTCCTCTGGGATAAATAAATACCCTGTTTAGATCGAGCCACCTCAATACCCAAGAAATACATGAGTTTTTCCAAATCCTTAGTATGAAATCGATCTTGTAAGAATATTTTTAACTTGGCAATCCCCTCAGAATTATTTTCAGTAATCACAATATCATCTACATAGACCACCAATACGACATATCCAACATCTGTCTGTCTATGAAACACAGAATGATTTATTTGACATCGAAGAAGACTAAGTTCTAAAATTGTATTTGAAAACTTACCAAACCATGCCTTCGGTGACTGCTTCAAACCATACAAAGATTTTTTTAACTGACATACACTCTTATCATACTCCCTTTGAGCAGTAAACCCAGGTGGCTGCTCCATGTATACCTCTTCAACCAAGTCACCATGTAAGAAGACATTCTTGATGTCTAAGTAAAACAAGGGTTAATCAAGATTAGCAGCCAAAAAAATCAAGATACGAACAGAGGAAATTTTGGCAACAGGAGAAAAAGTCTCATAATCAACACCATAAGTCTGAGTAAAACTCTTTGCAACAAGCCGGGCTTTGAGACGCTCCACAGAACCATCTGGATGAAATTTAACAGTATACACTCAACGACAGCCAATAGTTCGTTTACCAGAGGGTAAAGGAACGAGATTNCACTTCACAAAACAGTCGTAAGTCAACCGAATTCAAGGATCTTCTGAGCATAACTGCTTGATTAGCCAAACGATCAGCAACATTAGAACAAAACCCACAAATATTAGAGCATTTTCTCGTCTCTTCTGTTCTCAGATATAAGCCACAAATATATGTAGAAAGATGAATTAGAACAAAATCCACAAAATCTAGTGTTGCTCACACAGAATTAAGGGAGAAATGCTTAATTAGGGTTTATGAAAAAGCTAGGGTTTCTTCTTCATGATGCCAAATTACATATGGACTNGGAACGAGATTCCAAGTCCCATTATGATGTAAAGCATCCATCTCCTCCTCCATAACTTTCCTCCAACCTGGATCAGACAATACATCCTGNATTACATATGGACATAGTCATATACGTATATGTGTGTGTGAATTAAGTGTAATTTGGGAGATTTTGAGGAGGAGAGAAAATATGAGAGACTAGAACTGGATTGAATGGGTTTCACATAGAACGAGAGTGAGACTGAGAGAGAGCATCGAAGGTAAGTGTAACCTTATGAAAAAATTAGGAATTGTGATGTACAAATCTATGTAGATCTATACATATATATACAGATTTATGTATATATGCACATAGATCTATACAAGTAAAGGGGTTACACTTACCTTTACAGNACAAGAAAAGACAAGAGACAAGGCATCATATGAAACACAATGAGAAATGGGATGATTCGTAACACACGAACGAGTAACTTTGCGAAGAGCAATAGGTAAAGAGTCTAAATTACCTGATGTACCAGGATCATAAGGCGGCAAGGAATACGGTACGAGCATTTCAGTCGATGAGCGAGAACGGCAAGAATAGACACGGAGAGGTAAAGTAGATGGTAACACAGTGGGCAGCGAAATATCTGAAGATGAGAAAGAAATGGTGGTACTAGAGAGGATCTAAAGTCCAGATCCAAAGGTTGAGAAGGTGCTAGAAAGTATAGAACAGACTCTTCAAATGTGATATCGACACTAGTAAAGTATTGGTGCAGAGAAGGACTGTAGCAACGATTTCCCTTCTGCGTGCGGGAGAAACCAAGAAATACACATTTGGTAGTTCGAGGGTTAAGTTTATCAAACACAGGCCCCAAATTGTGAACATAACAGACACAACCAAAAACCTTAGGAGTAAGGGAAAATAAAGGCTTACCGAGAAAAAGAACAGAATATGGACTTTGCCCATTTAACACAGAGGATGACATACGATTGATAAGATGACAAGCAGTAAGAACAACATCACTCCAATAATATCAAAAAATATTAATCTGGAATAACAGGGTACGGGTGACTTCCAACAAATGACAGTTCTTGCGTTCAGCAACACCATTTTGTGGAGAGGTGTAAGCACAAGAAGTTTGATGAATAATTCCAGTTTTACTATGATAAGCTGAAAGAGGATCAGATTCATATTCCCGAGCATTATCGGAACCTAAAGTACGTATACAACAACCAAATTGAGTTTTTATTTCCTTACGAAAAGTCTCAAATATAAAGAATAATTTAGATCGAGCTTTCATAAAAAACAATCAAGTCACACGAGAATAGTCATCCATAAATGTCACAAAATAAGGATATTTATTAGGTGTAATATTCTTTATTGAACCCTATACATCAGAATGGACTAATTCAAATGGACTAGACATACGATTATTGACTCTAGACTGAAATGACACACGGTGATGCTTACTAAATTGACAAGCTTCATAAGACAAAGACGACACATAACTAAGACTGGGAACTTGACGCTTCAGATTTTGGAGAGAGGGATGTCAAAGACGACAATGCCATTGAAAAGGAGACAACGAGGTCTGTAGAGCCCGAGTAGGTGAGTCAAAATCAAAGTAATATAGGCCACTAACTTTATGCCCCGTATCAATCTTCCTTTTTGTCTTGAGATCCTGAAAGACACAATAAGAAGTATAAAAGGTTACAGAACAATTGAGAGAACGAGTAATCTTACTAATGGAAAGTAAACTAAAAGGAAACTGAGGAACAAATAACACGGATGATAGGGACATAGAAGGACTCAAGTGAGTAGTCCCTAGACCTGAAACTTTAGAACAAGTACCATTAGCAAGAGTAACACTACTTGTGGAAGTAGCAGACTGATAAGTAGAAAAACATCGGATGCACCAGTCATGTGGTCAGAAGCGCCAGAATCTATGATCCAGTGACTGCGGGTGGAGGACAATAAACAAGTGGAAGTAGTACCTGATTGGGTAAAAGTAGCAGTGGAGGGAGATGGAACAGCCTGTTGTTGGGACAGGAACTGGGCATACTCTTCTCGACCTAGTATAATAGTAATTGACCTAGTGTCTGGTGGAGTTGACTGAGGTATGGAAGCAACAACCGATGTGTCATTCTGATAAGAAGCCTGATTAGCAGCATCAAAAGATTTTCCATGTAAATCCCAACAAAAGTCAACAGTGTGTCCTCTACGGCTATAGTGAGTACAGGAACGAGATCCATTATGACCCCCACGACCACCCGTACGACCTCCCGTATGACCTTTGCGACCACCACGTCCACCTCGATGACCATCACTATGGCTATTAGGAATCACAAGAGTTGAGCGATCAGTGGAGACACCATGATCAATGACTG